CAGGAAAGAGCTGTATTCGGTAAGCTGCGTTTCATGAATGCTGAAGGTTTACATCGCAAATACAAAAAAACCATCGGTGACTGGGTCAGATTCAATTACAAGTTGGCTGGTCGTAAGGTTGATGGTCCTGTTGAACCACCGAAGAAGAAAGCGACTAATCAAAAAGGAATTGGCGGATGGGTTAAGTCCACTAACAAAGAGAGCAGTGAAAGTAAGAAGAAACCAGGAAAGCGGGCCAAAGTTGAATCTGAGGAAGACGAAGAAGAAGGATTGGATCTATCAGAGGATAGCGAGACTTCTCCAAAAGTTAGCTCATCGAAGCGAAAAAAGCCGGTAAGAGGCACTCAAGCTGCGAAGAAGCCAACGAAAGAGGCGAAAGTTGAATTGGAATCTGAATCTGAGGAAGAAGAGTTGGATCTATCGGAAGATAGCGACTCTGCAGAAGATTTATCGAAAAGCGACTCTGCAGAAGATTTATCGAAGAGCGACACTTCTGCAGAAGTTAATTTATCGAAGCGAAAGTTACCGGTAAGAAAAACTCGAACCGTGAAGAAAGCAACAAAACAAGCCAAGGTTGAATTGGAATCTGAATCGAATGAATCTGAGGAAAGCGATGAGGAAGATTTGGATCAATCGTATAATGGCGAAGAAGAAAAATCTCCAAAGTCTCCAAAAGTCGTCTCACCAAAGCAAAAAAAGCCNTTAGGGCGGATTAGCCTCTTCTATTAGCTTCCCATAAAAATGGCTTCAATTTCAGGATTTTTTTGTTGAATTAGTTGCATTCATCAGAAGTTTAGTGTCGTGTCGTATGAGAAATGAGAAGTTTCTGTTTTTCTGACTTCCCCCATTTTCTCGCAACTGAATTTCCTTTGGTGTTTTTCTGCAATCCGTTAGAGTCAGTTGTGAATCTTTTTGGTGAGCGATTTTTTGATTTTTTCACAATTTGTCCTGATGAGTTTCCCGAATATTTTTTGCGAACTTTAGTATAATTTCCATTTTCAACACTTAAGCTTTTGTTGAATTATCATTTTTGTAACAAATTGATTGCAATACTGCGGATTTGTTTTCGCGTTGTTATCGTCAAACGATTACCTCTCTAATATTGTATTGTGTTTTCTTCTGAAAATTTTTTGAAATTAATAAGTTTGAATGATCTGATGTGTGCTTTCTCAAAGAATCGCGAACATTTTGCAAATTTTATTCAATTTTATTCATTTTGTTTAATGTATTCAAGTTTCGCATCTCATTTTGATTTAGTGTATGCACCTCATTGTTCCGCACTATCGTATCTGTCGTATAACTTTGTGCTCATTCAGTGAACTTCATCAATCTACCTCATTCATGTCTAATGGATATATATTCTCTTCATAAAATGCGATGATTCTCGAAAATAGCTCAGGAATTCTCGAACAATCAAAAAAAATGTTTCAAACAACGAAAAATTGTATTCATTTTCTCCTTTCAGTTTGTATCAATCGTTAATTTGATTTTGTGTGTAACTGTTCACTGTAACTGTATTTCCTTTATAATTCGACTCTGTCATTTTTTTTTGTTTCAGTAATCGTAACTTTCAATATACTGTTAAAACGCTCCATATAATGATTCATTTGTGTTTAATTTATCTCATTGTCAGCTTATCTACCTCAGCATCAATCAGTCTTCATGCTATCAGTTGGCTTTGAAAAGGACAAGAATCGTTCTACTGATGAGGAATTCTAGAGGAGAATTCTGTTCGTAATTTGATGATAGCATCAAGACTGATTGGTTTTGATGAACCTTTGCAAGGCATGAAATTAGCACATGTAGGTAACTACCGTAGTCACTACCTCTTCTCGAATGTTCAGTTTAATTCATTTTTATGGAAATTTAGATCAGTCCTTCCCTCTTCCATCTATTTGGAGAATTTTGGAAATTGTGCTGTGCTACAAGTTTTCATGCAAGCTCTTGGGTTCGATTCTGCCGTTCATTATCTTAAATTTTCTTAAATATCAAAATATTCACATCTGCTAACCAAATCTTTTTAATAATATTGTTAATCCTTACATTGACCTCGATCGTTTTTATCTTTCAAGCCATCTTTTTCATATTAATAAACTATGTACACAATTTTTTATTCGTTAGCATATGATATTCATGTGTTTCACACACGTAAACTATTATCGATTTAGCAATCTCGTAGTGATGCGAAGTTAATTGAGTATATCTTTGATCAGCCTCTTCTTTTTCGCATATTAAAGTTGAATTCCGGATTGATACGAGATGTCAGTCTTTGGCTTCTTCGGCGATTCGCATTTAATTTGATATAAAATTGCTTATGATTCGTCCACAATTAAGATAGTTTAGGCTAGGAATTCTTCAGAAATACAATTTATAATGAATGCATCTACCAAGATCAGCAGAAAGTGATAACCAATCGCAAGCTAAAGAATCTTTGAAATCTATCTCTTTTGACTATCGTTCGAACTCTGTACAGATAATAAAAACACCTCAGGTCACAACAACATTTGTTGGTTCAACGGGAAGATAAAAAGCATTTGGTGGATTGGAACGAGCCAAAAAAAAAAGATTTGGAAAAGTACATTGGTTTTTTCTCAACGGATGGATGAAGGAGGACAGTCATCTGATGCTAATGTGCGACCGAAATTCGTGCCGAATACGAAACGAACGTTTTGGAGTAGTCGATTTTGGTATAACTTAGTTTATTACAAACGAAAGTTTAGATATCGTACGTCGACAACGGTTGTGAGTGCGATTGCGTTATATATTATTGGGTTAGTTTTGGAAATTATATGGAAATTTAGGGGTGCATTGAAGAGGTTTTGTTGAATATTCGTAATCAACAAAACTTATGTAATTTACGTTGTTGAAGTGAAGCGAGTTCTTGAATTGAATTATGGATGAT